TTTTCTGCTACGAAGACTCCTGAATCAACCGACAAGTTTTGGCATTCATATGTTCTGCTATTAATATGTACAAGAGACCCACTGTTTTACCCGGTATCACATCAATATAACTCCAAACAACATCATCATGCCTGAAATTATGTCTTTCCTTGTTTGTGTCGTTCAGAAAGAATATACCACCCAAGTAGTACTATTTTGTCTTGGAAATTTCCACATTATCCATTTTTGGCCAAACCATTAACTTCTGGATTAATAAGGCCCTATTTGTCACCCATTATTTTATGAATTAAAGAGTTTTGAATAGTATTTTTTGGAAGAATGAGTGGTAAAAAAATAACGAAACTTTATTGGTTTGTGTGTAGAATATTTTATTGTATGAATGTGTGGTGAAGAACGATACTATAGCAAACAATTTAAAATTTTAAAGGTTGTCAAACAGGGGCTAAAATGACCAGAAAACTGGAAAAGGGAAAAAAAAATACCTGAGACTCCCTTGAAGTTGGATGATTTTGACTCCCGCTGTACATAGATACAACCAAGGCACTTGCTGTAATAAGACAAATATTAATAGATTAAGGCCATTTGCCAAATGATTGGTTTACACAATAAATTACATCCGTCACATACTTCAAGGGAAAAGGTTACGTTTTTAGCGAACAACTGGAGAGTATGCTGCTAATAAAAATATAATGACAAATTGGATAACATTGAACCCAGTACCCACAGTCAATTCCGGACCATAATGTATGGTCTTTCCGTAAATACCTAAAATATACCTAAAAGATAATCAGGAAACCACAATAATCCACCTCTGGCACAAGGTTTGGCACTTTGCAATCCCTTTTTGCTTGACAGAGAAGTCATTCACACGAAAATCATGCATAGCAGGCAGCATACAGAAACATCAGTTATTATGTAAACCTAAAATTTAGATTCAAGAAACCTGTCAGAGAACGCAATATCAGGCATCATCTGTTTTATATTCAATTCGTGTCTACAAACTCAAAAGGGAAAGTTATAGAACTGGTTTTGAATTTTCTAGTCCTTTTTTTTGAAAAAATATGCATCGGAATGAAATGACCATGAAAAGAATTATCCATTTATGAGCTTCCATCACATAAAATTTCTTCAATAAATGTGAAGTGAACAAACCTGATGAGACCAACGAGAGGAAGTTTTGCCACTGATCTCTTCAGCAACAATATCAAGAAGCACAATCACCAAAGTTAGAGGAGAAAGGCATCAGTCGAAAGTCGAAAAACGACGGCTATGAATAGATGTCTTAACAGCATGTGCAGGCCATAATAAGTTAAAGAGTTTACTAACCTTGGCAACGAAGCTTGGGAAAGAAGATGACATGTGGTACAATATATCTAAATAAGATACATGATTTGACACAATAGCCCCAGGTCTTTCCATATCTTCAGATTGATCCATAGACTCGTTCTGAAAAGTTAGGCAAAATGAGCCAAAGAACAATCAGAAACAAACACAATTGCCAGTTATTTAAGTCCTTGCAAACCAAATCTTGATGAACCATTCACTGATCTAGATCATTTTTTAGCAACTCGACAGGTAGATAATATGCAGTAGTCTACTGTGGTGCACACACATACAGAGTCAAGTCATCACAGCAGATAGGCTTATTCATCGAGAAGCATAATATATGCATACAATTAGGTCACCCATGACACTGCAATCATCTTAAATATACAATATCTCAAGCAAATAAAGAAAAAACTTATATGATCACACAAGCATAAACAGATGAACTATTTGTTGAGTAATCTAACTTAAAAAAACAACAGAAAGAAAACTTGTAAGTTCTGTCAATTCTTCTTAGTGTTGGACAATAAAATGAGATTGGATACTTTCGGATGTGATTGACATTCATCTTTTCCTCAACAACAATAATTCACCAATTCAAGCAACTTACATTCTCCTCCACCTACACTTCTCGTAAATGACACTATGCGAAAATGAAATCCCACAATGTGAAGAGTAATATTACATGCTAAACACACGATTCTATAAAAACTTAAGCCCAAAAATTAAACTTGAACTATAACACATGGATCATAACATCTAATCAAATCCAGAGCTGAAATCGCAGCAAAGCTTACCTCATTGTTCACCTTCCCCTCAGCATCATTACTCCTAATTGTTTTCCGAATCCAATAGAAGCCAAAAACAAACAGCAAACCTCTCGATAAAAACTTCCCAGTCTGCACAATCACCGCCCTCCTCCACCCGCCCATGTGCGCATAATCCTCCTGCTCATCCTCCCTGTTGGGAGCCTTTAACACTGTGCAAAGCCTACAAATTATATAATAAATTACTAATATACTCATCGAAGCCACTGCTCTAATCGGAACCAATAAAATCAGGCCGAGCGCAAGTAACAATTTCTCGGGCCAAGGCAGCTCCCCCCGTCCCATTGTCCCGTACACATCGTGCCTCACATAAGCCGCATACTTCTTCTCCATCTCTTCAATATTAGGATTGCACACTTGAGATTGGATTTGGGGAGTGTTCGGATCGGATTTAAGGAGCGGGCGGTCATCGTCGATGGGCATGGTGGATTCGGATAGAGACCCAGACGGGGTTGGAGCTAGGGTTTTTAGCTCGGACTCCATTGTTACTGATAGAAAATTTTGAAATTTTTCTTCAGAATTTATTGGGTAGCCATTGTTGGTTTGAAGAGGAGAGCGTATCTTGTTTGGGATTTCTGGTTTGGCAGGAGTGAAATCGGCGCGACATGAGAGCGCGTGAGACCATATATACGTCTTTTGGTCTTTGTGAAAATATTCAGTGGTTTACGTTAAGTTGTGTGAGGTCTCGTATTGCAGCCGTTCGATTAAAGTGTGACAGGACTATACGGTCTCGATCAAGTCTGCGAATATAGACGGTGATATAGGCCCAAATCTAGGGCCCATATAGTTGGGTTGATACCAGCCCAATTTACCTATGGGAGAGATGATATAATTAAGCCCACATCCGAAGCCATTTTTTAAAAATTCATTTTCAAGTCGACATACTTTGAATAAAATAATTTCACATAAATTCAATTTTTTTCCCTACTTTTTGTTCACACATTCTTCCAAAAATTATTATTAAAAAATTCATTCTCTCAAAAAATGGAGTTCAAACATACCTTAAATTTGATTAGTTAAAAAATTTGTTTATTTTAAAACTTATTACTTTTAAATTTGAACATACATCGTAAGTGGACAAGGTGCTAAGAATTTTTTATTTATATCCATGAGTTCCTTAGCAATTATATCTCAATCAATAGCAGTATTTTTCTATACTTAGCTTTTGCCGTTAAACAATGATACTTTTAGATGGTTCCCAACGATGATCGATTTCTTATTTAGGTCATCAGACATGAAACTACATTCCTTCTTCACAAAATTATCCCACATAGTCAACATCAAAAGAAAAAAACCTATTACATGCCATGAAGAATCTAATTAGAAATCCAAATCATGTACGAGGTTTAGGATAATAACAAATAGCTAACTTTGCAAGTTGATTTCGAATTCGAAGTACATTTAATTAACAAGAACTATATTTTGGCTAGAAGATTGAGTTTCAAAGTGAGTTTGAATGTGTCTTTTTTGGCTTCACGTTGACTAGAAGAAGAAACACAAAATTAGTCAAGTTATTTGTGTACAACACTTCAATAAGACTTCATCAATAATTTCAAAATTATATCATTTGAGTACGGCATTGCAATACTAAAAAAAACTTAAAAAAAAGGTTGAACCACAATATTGAGGGCCCCCACTGCCCCGCCCCTAGACGGCGTTGCAATACTAAACTGATCTAACAATGCCATTTATTTCTTTCAGTTTTAGCACAGATGTGACCCAATGTCATCAAGATGCTCCAAACAATCTGCCAACATGACAACCAGCTAAGCAAATCAATGGGATCCACACTTCACATCACCCTCACTGAAAAAGGCCAAGAGTGACTAACTGTTGTGTTGAGTAGTGTATGAAGGAGATTACATGGAGTTGCAACTATTGACCACATTGGTCGTCAACAACTAACATTTCTTGATCTCTCACTAATTAGTAATTATGTAGAGCAGTAATTTCAATATTTTTTGTGGTAAAAAGCTAAGTTGTCCAATCAAATATTTTTGCATACTGGTGTATTGGTCATTATTTAGGTTATATTTTGGTTTGAGAACAAACAATTGTTTAAATTTGGGGGTATTTGATAAGTGTATTTGATACACTTATTCGGTATCTTAAATAGTGATATTTGATGATTCTTTTGACAAATTATATCTTAAATTTTTGTCTTTTATGTTTAATAAGTGAAATTTTATAAAGGAAAAAGTATTGAAGGAACGAAACAAAAAACGGGCGAAAAATAACAAAATCCAAAGTATGAGGATTAAATCAGCTATTGGAAGCAAAGTTCAGAGATCAAATTTTATACTTTGGAAATTGAAAGACTTGAATTGAATCAAAGAGTACATGGATTGCAAGAATAAAAGTGCTCAATGACTAAAATTTATTATATTAAAAGATTGAGAATTTGATGGGTAATATTGCATTAGAGGCTTTGAATTGGAGTCAAATAATGTCGCTGAAGAGTTGTATTGTATATACATTCATGCCGGAGGCTGGAGAGCTGAGAGTCCCTTTTAGAGTCCTTTTTCTTTGTCAACTATTGTGGCTACTAGGTTATTATTTTGGAGAGAGATATATATGTACAGGCAAAGAAGAATTTAGAGGCAGCCAAATTATAATTTTTTGCACACACTTTGACGCTACCAGAGATATTGACACACACGTTGGCAATTGAGGTAGAGCCATTAATATATATTTCCACACACTTGAGGCAGCCAATATTTCATAGACAGACGTTTCCAATTGTCGTTAATGGAGAGAAAGACACAAAAAATTGCGACTGTTTGGGGACTACCGGCTGCTGTTGCATTCAAAGATTAATACTCAAGAAAATTGCGGCAGCGTATAAACACGGCAAAGACGGCAACACGCGGAAAATCGACAGATTCACTTTTAGCAAATTATTCACGTTCCGTCAATTAATCGGGTGATGAATTCCTTAAATTTTTTTATTTTTCTTTCATTAATATGCATAGTTAAAATTAATTTTAGGACGAACAATGTAACCTGTTTGAAATAGTTATTTCTTTTATTTGAGATTCTTTGTTCTTTTATATTTTGTGTGGATTTTAATTATGTTTTCCATGCTTTGAATTTTCTGGCCAATTATTTAATGATTTCATGAACATTAATTACGTAGAGATGCGAATTCATGTTTAAACTATATATTAAAATTCGGTATATTAATATAACATGTAGAGATGTCTATATTAATTGCTGCCGTCCCATAGGAATTCTTCGAACTATTATTTTGTTTAAATAATGTTGATTAGTATAGAGATACGAAGTTGAATTATTTAAATAGGTTCAATGAGAACTCAAGAGGGATAAATTGAAACCATAGAAAAATTTGACATAACACTACTTTAATTTTATGAATCTTGATATTAGAAGTAAAGGTGACCAATAAGTGAATTTGTTCCGCCTTAATAGTCATTCATTATTTGAATTCTCACTCATTTTCTATTGCACGAAATTTTTAGTAGTTATATTTAAAAATCACATTCAATCATTTTTTGTTTTGTTTATTTTCATCAAATATACGTTAGGAATAATAAATTGAGTACTAAAATATAGTCATCAAGGGAACGGTAATCCGGACTCAAAAAATCAACTTTACTACTTGTTATGATCCGTTCACTTGCGAGATAAAATCGACAATAAAATTTTGACGCCGTTGTCGAGGACTATTACTTTTAGTCTTGATTTATTTTATTTTTAATTGATATTTGATTTGTTTATTTTCTTTTATTTACAAAAAAAAAAAGGGTTCGTTGTATGCTACGTACTCAAAGCGATGATTTTGAACCGTTTGATTCGAAAATAAAACGTACCTTCAGACAAAGATGCAAGGAACACAAACAAAAACAGCAACATTAAATGGGTGACAATCTAAACAACCATATCCCTATACAGCCAATTGGACAAATGGCCGCGAGAGATCAACAACAAAAGCAAAGAGTAGCAAATGAAGGGGACTTGCTAGTGTCTACGTTTTTAACGCTTATAACAGCACCTGCATAGTCCAGTATCGTATATCCAGATTTTGGGGTAAACAACTTCCAGATAAGAGCTGACTGGATTGATTTGATGAGCAACAATTTGCAATTCTATGGGTTATCTCATGAGAATCCAAACACACATATCTCCAAATTTCTTAGAAATTTTCAGAATTGTCATGCTCCCGGGGTTAATGAAGATGCCATCAAGTTGCGATTATTCTCATATACACTAAGAGATGCAGCATTGAAATTGCTGGATTCTGAACTTGATGGAAGTATTACCACATGGAAGGGACTGACCAGAAAATTCTGCAATAAGTTCTTTTCCACCAGTTAAGGTAGCAAAAATCAGACTGAAAATTTAAACCTTTCAACGGAGAGATGGGGCGAGTTATAACGAGGCATGGAACAGATTTAAGGAGTTGTTGAGGAAGTTTTCAAATCATGGGATCACTATTGGAAATTAAGTGCAGTATTTCTACACAGGTCTTTTACCACTGTCCAAATCTCAAGTGGATTCCTCTACAGAAGGATCGATCGTAGGAAAATCAGTGCAACAATGTACGGATCTGTTTGAGTTGATTGCTACTACTCATTCCATGTTTTCATAAGAAAGAATGTACCTCCAAAAGCAGCAGGAATATATGAATTAGACAGCATAACATCTACCAACGCTCAAAAAACAGCATTGACAAAACAGGTTTGAGTTATTGGTGAAGTCACAAACAAAAGGATCACATGTAGTGATGGCCAGTCCATCATACAAAAACTGCGGGGCTAATCATCTGACAGAAAACTGTACATCTATGGGATTTTCGGAGGAATAAGTCAATTTCATTCAAAATGGCTCTCGAAATTTTAATCCCTTTTCAAAAACACATAACCCAGGATGGAGGCAACACCCAAACTTCAGATGGTCGAATAATCAGCAATGGAACAGTTCAAACAATGCCCAACATGATAAAAAACCAAGTTTGGAGGAGATGTTCAACCAATCATGCAAAAGATAGACAAGGTGTTCTAGCAGATTGATACTAACTTTCAGAATTAGCAAGCATCCATCAACAAACTAGAAACTCAAATTGGACAGATAGTTCAACAGTTTGCAGAACACCCACAAGGGACATTGACAAGCAACACAATGGTTAATCCAAAAAAGCAAGTGCAAGCTATTACAACCAGAAGTGAGGTACAACTTCCAGAGATATATGTGAAGAGACTAGAGAGAAAAGATAAAGAAGTAATGGTTGAAGAGGCTAAGAAAGAAGGAGAGTCTGAACCACTAACTAACGAGAAAGATGAAAGGAAAGAAGCATCCACAGTTAAAGCACCAAGCCCCGTGAAAGCTTATGTACCACCAATTCCCTTTATTTGTTTACAGGTCTTTTGGATTAGGAGAAGGAAAACCTACAACCATCTCTTTACAACTAGCTGACAGATCGATCAAACGACTAAAGGAAATTATTGAAGATGTGCTAGTCAAAGTTGATAAATTCATTTTTTCAGCTGACTTCATCATTTTGGACATGGAGGAGAATTCAAACATCCCTCTAATTTTGGGAAGACGACCGGAAGAGCGCTGATTGACGTTTACAATGGAAAGATGATTTTTCGGCTGAACA